GAGGGGGGAAAGGGGGCGATGTCTTTGCTGGAAGCCGAAACACTAGATATGGGTGACGAGGGACGGCAGGGTTGTGCACATTCTTTTTTGAGCAGTCATTGTGTGACGCCATTTTGGAGCAAGGGGGCGCACAAATGACCTCAAATCTGACGATGACTTCATTGGGACTATGACGATTTTTTCTCCTTCTCATCCTTCATCAGTCACTCTGTTGCTTACCAATTGCGTCCATACTCACTGTTCACGTCAATCAAGCGTTCCTCATGCAAGGATGTCCACTCTCATGCAAACAAAACTCAAGGAATGGATCGTTGTGAGTGTGTGTCTTTGGATCGTTGATGGCTTCGTCTACTGGCGTTCATCGGTGATCTATGCCTCAGTGCCAGCCTCAATCGCCTCTCCCCCGGTAAGCTCCTCCTTCTTTGGGAGTTCTTCGATGGGCTGTGGCTCGGAGACCTCGGGAGCAGGAGCAATGGGCTGTGTCTCGGGAGCAGCGGGCGCTGAATGAACAAGAGAAAGGTACACACATACATTCGCTCTCCTTACGAAACGAGCTCATGTCTCAGGTACCTTCTGCTGCTGCGGATTCTCCAGCACTGGGTGGGGGCTTGGGCCCGTCCTCAGCGTCGATCTGGTTGAGAACATCATTGGCCTTGAGCAACGGGTTGGGCTCCTCCTTGGGCTGTGTCTCCTCCTCGCTCGTGTGGTATTCCATCGACGCGAAGTCAGGCGGGGACTGGGGGGTTGACGGGCAGAGGTAGTCGCTGTGGCCCACCCCTACACACACACACGCACACAGACACAGACACAGACACACACACACACACAGAGAGAGAGAGAGGGAGAGATACATACACGCACAGAGAGAGAGACGGATACAAGTCACGTACACTGGAGGTCGACCCGTCCTGTGCCCTTGAAGCTCTTGTGGTAGAGTTTGAGGTGTAGGTGGTAGCGGCAGGTGGGGATGAACCACGAGGGGATCTGCCCGTGCCGGTCGATGAAGACGTCGAAGCGCAGGCCGAACTTGTCGTCGTTGATCATGTGCTGCGGGTAGTGCAGCGAACCGTAGTGCGCCTTGACATCTTTGATGTGGCCGCTGAACGGCTCCTAAACACACAGGGAGTGACGCACAGGATCCGTCGAGTCGGCGGATAGATGGATGTCATGAATATCTGGCCCACTTCGTTTTCGTGTCGGATTTTACAGCTGATCTGGCCGCGATCTTCTCCGTCCATGGCATTGCACAGAATCTACACACAATCGAATAGACACAGCTAGAGAGACGTGTGGCTCTCTCTATTGTCCCGGCACGTCTCCCTCTCTCTCTCTCTCTCTCTCTGACGAATTCGTTTGGTGTGCGGTAGCAGTGGTCCTTCTTGATGAAGACGCGGTCGTCCCAGGGGAGGCCGGGGAGCACATCCACACAGTAATTATCACCGGCAAGGATGCCAAGGGGGCCGTCCTTGTCCTGCTGCTCCCTGAGCAGATCTTCCACAGCGTTCACCGGCTGCAGCAGCTGCTCAACCTGGGCCTTGTACGCATCTAGCGCAAATGCCTTCTCGTCAATAGCGCCTTCATTCGCCCACACAGCGATGATACGAGGGTGCAGCGGTCTCTTCCTTTATGTCTGACCTTCGATAAGGGATTGGGCGTCTCCGAATAGGGGGTCGATGAAGAGAGGTCCGGAACCGATTGAATCGGGGTCGGCGGGAGGCGGGATGAACGGGGCGGGAGGCTCCTTGACGGGGAGGGAGCTGAAATCTGTCGCTGCTCACACACGCAAGAAAGACACAGATGTTCGCACCCACCCCATCAGTGTGTGCAGAGGAGGTTGTCTACACACTATGCAGGCCATCGGGGCACTGCAACAGCATAAGCACAAAACGCGAGAGAGAAGTGTGCATCTCAATTGCACCCATTACTACCAGAGCGTTGCTGTGTATGGAGAACTGCATGAAGTGGGAGACGAAGAATCCCAGCTCCTCCTTGGTGATGCCCAGCTCGGGGAAGTCAATCACAACCTGCGGGCATAAGCCACATGGAAACGAACGGGTGAATGGATGGCACTACAAATGAGAGAGACACGGCCGTCCTGTCCTGTTCCTGACGTAAAGCTGGCACTTGAGATACTCCTCCTGCTGGTCGCCCTCCGCGCCCACAACCTTGCTCACAATGTCAAAGTCATCCATGTACCTAACAGACACACACACAGGCCATCAGGCGGGCTTGGAGGGCCGTCTGCCTGGTCTGTTCTGTTCTGTCCTGTCCTGTCGTGTGTGTGTCGTGCTGACTGACAGGTTGAACATCTCATCTTCATATTTGGGCGAGAAGATGCCGGGCAGCTCGTGCATCTGCTCCTCCCACGTCTGCGAAGACTTGCGGCGGTAGCGCCGACCCAACGCGGCCTTGGCTGCCTTGTCAGTCAACAGCGACTCTTTGGCATTCATGCGGCGGATGCTGCAGCCCCGGTTGATCGAGTGGCGGAACTGCAGCGTATCAGGGTGGTAACACGCCATCTGCATTGACAGATTCCCATGATTGACACGAAGGAAGACAGAGTCCTGCGTGTGCTCTAATTGATGCTCACGGTGCCGTGTCTCTCCCCGTCGGAACCCAGCGCGTTGTAGTAGTAGCAGTCCTTCTTGGGGAAGCCGATCTGGTCCCCGCCTTTGATTGAGTGGTGGGGGTGCACCTCGAAGCAGAACTGGTCCCCGCTCAGGGGGCCGTTGTTGCGGGTGAGGCCGCGGAGATATCTGTCGACGAGTCTGAGTGTCTTGGACGCGCTGCGGTATCGGCCGATGTTCTGGTCGTTGCCGTAGTGCTCGTTGACGCGCAGCAGCGCACCCAGCATGTCTCCGGAGCGGGAATGAATGCGGAGGGGCCCTGCACACACACAGGCACACAGAGTGAGAGAGAGAGAGAGTGTGTGTCGCATGAGAAAACGCGCCGCGGCTATTCCTTGCGGGTAAGACCGACCATATCGCTTTTTCGTGTAGGTGCGGACGCGCATGGCCTTGCCGCCGGCTCGTTGGTGCTCGAATGCAGTGGCGTTGGTGGAGACGGTGTGGGAGAGGAATGAGCCATGGCGGCGAAGGGCCTTGGCGGATGCCGCAGCGGCTGAGGTGCCGGCACACAGCAGGAGGGGCACAAGGGCGACGAGCTGCACCTTGTGGACACGGGACGTTGGCGACACCTGCGGAGAGACTGAGACGCGGCTCAGACGCCCCCAAGATGAGCCCCCAGGACGTGTCACGCAGGGTGACTAGGGTGCTCAACCGTGAAGGCAGGGCATTTAATTGAAGGCACTCAGACAGCGCACCCAATGCAAAGGCACACAGGTCACGTCTGAAGGTGTCTTCCGTCACACATACATGCGCACATACAACACAGAAAAACAGTCACAATCACGCCCACGTAGACACAACGGCTCTCTGCCGTCAACGAACAAAGTGCTACCTCCCTACGGCTAGGATGACTGTACAAGAGAGGCAGGCAGGCAGGCAAGGACGATTGGTCTGCAGCTGGCCATCATTCACTCGGACCGAGTGAGTCATATGAGTGGTGTGGGCGGCGCTGCCGCCTTGCTGCCGTCCCTCTCGAGGTCCTCCTCTGCCATGGCGGCGGTCCGCTGAGGATACTTGTACCTCGCGGGAAGTCCCTGCCCACCACTGATGTACTTATCGAGGAACTGATACATGCGCATACACACAACCAATCAGCTCGCAGAGAGTGTGATCCAGCCATCCCTCGCTATCCATCCATCCATCCATCCATCCATGTGTGCCTTACCTGCTTGCCCTTGTTTCTCCATCGGTCGACCGTCGCCTGCTCGGGCGTCAGTGTCACTGTTAAGGTACACACACACACATAGATGTGCACCCACTCACACACCTGTCTGTCTCTCCATCTATTTATTCACTGCCTGACCTCTGGGCGCGTTGAGGTAGTAGCTCTTGGGCGGCACGTTGTCGCGTCGCGTCTTGAAGAGGCCGCACGCCTGGAAGGCCTGGTGCACCAGCGACGCCACAAACGCCACCGCCGGCCGCAGGGGCTGCGGGAACAGAGTGGCCAGCTCAAAGTCCACCGAGTGGTCGCCGTACGCCTGCGTCAGCTCGAAGTACAAGTAATGACGCAGAAACAACCACCTGCAACACATAGAGAAAAGGGCAAACAGCACATGTTTATTGAGAGAGGGGCAAGGGGAGGCAAAGGCGTGTGGGTACCCGTTGAAGATGCCGACGGAGCAGAGGACGAACTCGACGCCCGTGACGAACCCCAATAGCAGGCCGATGCACCCGATAGTGAGGTAGATGAAGGGCAGGGTGCGGCCCTTCAAGTGGGGAATAGCCTGGCCGAAGGCGCGCACTTCATCCATCGGCATCGCCTGCTTGATGCCCACGGTCAGCGCCGCAAGCAGACCGCACGCACTGCATAAGGGCTGGAAGAAGTCGGTCTCGGACAGAGTGGCGTACCTAGCGGATGACAGACACAACACGTACAGACACACAGCGCAATCCCCCCCACACACGCAAATAAATAAACCCACCAGTGGAAGACTTTGTAGATGAAGACAGCGACCCCGTTGATGACCCCACTGAAGGCGAGGAACCGCATGAACTCCCTCGACCCCCAGTGCTCCTCCATCGGCCGACCCAGAAGGAAGAACGCCGGCCCCGTGATGAGCGCCTTAAGCGGGTGCGTCTCGAACAGATTGAACGTCACGATGTTCCACACGAAGGGCACGGTGAGTGTGCCCACGGTGGCGCCGTATATGGTGCGCGAGGGTATGAGGGCGAAGAGGTTGGAGAAGTTGGTGCTGATGCTGTGCAGCAGGCTGAAGACGACGATGCAGGAGGCGATCACGATGCAGCAGGGCCGTCGTCTGTCCAGGGGAATGGCGATGGGCAGGCCCGACAAGGACGTAGAGGAATCGGCGCTCTGCAGCATTTTCCTGCCGGTTACTGAGTCAATCAGTTTGCTTCCTCTGCACACACACACACACACACACGTGCGCACACGCGACGTGAAAGTAAGCCCGGCCTTTCTCTGTGCTGTTTCGCGCAGAGGCGACCTGCTTCAACTCGTCCCCTCACCACAGGATCGTCGCAGGTAGTGCCGACGACGAGGTGCGCCGGTGCTGGAGGCGAGGGTCTTCAGGCGGCAGAAACCCTTACGAACGAACCCTTGGGCAAACTCCAGCCTGCGGCGCTAGTAGCTTCAGCTTGCCGGGCTACTTCAAGCAGTGGCTGACCGAAGAAAGTTTTCCGAAGGAATGCGCGAGCTCAGTCTTTGACCCCAGGCGCCCACAGGGCGTCTCAAGCCTATCTCCTTCCTCGCGAACACATGCCCAAGCAATGATCTCCCTCGGCGAGAATTGGAGACGGGACGAGAAATTCGAGATTCGAGACAGAAATTTCGTCCCGTTTCTCACAATACCCGTCCGCTCGGCTTCTAAGCCTTCTTTCGGCTACAGATGCCCCGTTTCTTTTTCTTTTCAACTGCTTTTTGGCTGATGTGGTCCGCCTTATCCTCCTCTACCCCTCCCAACTCATTCGGATGAAAACTGACCCTTCCCTCCTCTACGCCGTGCCACAAGCGAGGCCTCAGGCGGTGGCGCTCTGCCGTCTGCTGAACAGCTGGCGACTCCTGACACCTCTCTGGCGTCAACTGAGTGAGACGACGCCTTCCTTTGTCTTCAAACATCCTCTCAGGTGAGTACCACGTGTCATGTCTTCGGGTTGGCTGCGGTTATGGAATGACACGACCCGAAGACTGCTTGGTCCGTTTTATCGCTGTGGTGGTCTCATATGCCCTGTTGGCATGTCTGTGTGCAGCAGAGAATTTTGGGCTTTTTTCCTGATGGTCGTCTCCTGTTATCGACGGAGTCCTCAACAGGTGAATGATGTATTCGATGAATCAGGTCTTCAGAGTACACCAACTTTGCCTTTGATGCTTCACAGACAACTCTTTCTTTTCCCTTCCAGTGAAAAAGCCGATGAGCGGAAACAGACGAGGAAAGCTGAGCACATTCTGTGAGTAGCGCCGCCGTCGACGACAAGGCGCGTCTGCAGAAGTTTCCCTTCATCGTCTCACTCTGTGAAAATGACTCGCGGTCAGCTACCGGCAGACATCAAGCAAGAGGTGCGTTCGAGCGGTGGACCAGCACTGGGTGATGCCCACTGGTCTGTGTGTGTGGGTGTGTGGGCAGTGCAGCTGTCCGGCACGGCCCCCTTCGAAAACCTCTGCCTAATTCTCTCGCCCTTAACCCCCAATCATCTTTGGAAGTCACGTGTGTGTGTGGGTGAGTGTGCGTGATGGCCTGCCTGGTGTGGCTGCTTGCCCTTACATACGCTCACTCTCATTGTGCCATGCATTCAGACAGACAGACAGACAGATGGACACCAGGGAGGCAGGCTGTGTGGCTGGCTGGATGGGTGGGTGGGTGGATGGATGCCTGTGTGTGCGTGGCTGCGGACTGAGAGAGGCAGGGAGTGATGGAGGCACCTCTCCTCTCCACCCATGCACCTCCGTCCTGGCACCTTTCCAGAGGTGTCGGGCCGTGGGTGCATGCGTGTAGTAAGATCTTACTTTGGCTGTCCTTATCATGCTGGGACGGGGGCATCGCTTGCTTCGTTGGTGTGTTTTGTGGTCGGTCAGCCAGTCATTTTGTGCGCGTGTGTGCGTGTGTACGTCTGGATGCATACCACACATATTCTACATACGAGTGGGTGGGTGGATGGGTGGGTGGGTGGGTGGGTGTGGGTGGTGCTCACCACAACGACCGGAGGGCCAAGGCAGGGACAGAGAGAGGTAGGGCACGACAGAAAGGCCCGTAAGAAGGTAGAATAAGCCCACTAGAAGGCACCAGCAAGCCCACTAGAAGGCCGCAGAATAAACAATATTAGCACCGCAGGTCAGCCAGCAACACACTCATGGCTTTCTGGTGGACATGCGAATACCCATGTGTGTGTGTGTGTGTGTGTGTGTGTGTTGCTGGCGCAGGCAAGAAGCAGCCCATCTAGAGTGATGAACGACGACGAAGGTCTGTACACAAGTCGACTGTCTCTCCTGACTTTCCTCATCGTTGCGTGTCTCTGCAGGCGTCTCATCCCTGCCAATACCGATGACCGTTCGAAGCCTTCACCGCCACACGACGACCAGCATCTGCATGTCACATGTCGGCGCCGTCACAACACACGACGTCGATTGACCGCTGTGCGCATGTCTCACTTCGCTTTGTGCAGATCGTTGTCTACATCTTATATTTGACGTCTTCTCCCACCTTCCTCCGCGGATACCTACCGGGCCGACCACACATCAAGACCGACCACACATCAAGACAGACCAGTGCCCAGCGGACGCCACTGTGGCGTCATTGCAGAGTGCCCTGTCGGACGCGTTGACGGGGCGTCACTTTGTGGGCCTCCACGATCTGGCAGAGGATGAGGAGCCCATGGCCAATGTAGAGGAACAATGTGAGCATCACACGCACCACACACACACACACACACACGGGGACACAAGGAGTGCACTGTCTACTCATGACACATCGTCTGTCGTCTTGATGCATGTGTGCAGTCATTGACGAGGGTGGGGACGACCCTTCTGTGGCGGTGCCGACGGTCGCGGCGTCATCTAGTGGAGTGATCGATCTGCCCGCCGCGGCGTCGGCAGCCGACGGTGCGCCTCGGCCACAAGAGCTGAGCAGCAGCAGCAACAACAACAGCAGCAGCAGCGCCCAGGCAGCGACCATCGAGCTGACTAAGCCGCTGGCCGACCACACGGTGGGCTGCACTTCGGGGAGGGCGATTATTTGATAGGCACCGGCAGCAACGGCAGCACAGCCATCGTCAAGAAGCGCCTCCCCCACCCCAAGAGGCCGGCAAAGGCCATCGACGCCGTCGTCAAGGTGGTCAAAGATGCCGATATACGGCTTTTAGGGCCGGGGCTGCAGAGGGAGGCAGACCGCATGCGCCAGGTCGAGGGCAACCCGCTGTTTCTGCAGCTCCTCTTCGAGGACGCCGACGCCACACGATGCCCGAGGTGGGATGGCCTTGTGGACTGTGTGGTGATCGGCATGCCTCGAGTGACAGGAGTGTGAGGCAACACACGCAGTACGACACACGCAACGGTCCCACTCACTGGCTGTCCCTCTCTGTCTTGTCTGTGTGGTTCGATGTCTGTTGCAGAGGAGTTTGTGGAGCAGCGGGATCTGCTGCTGGACACCAAGGACGAGAAGGGCGAGTACACGCGGCGGGCCGAGTACAACGTGGGGGTCATCGCCGACCGGTACAGCGGCAGGACGGCCGAGGAGAGGGCGGCGGTGGCACAAGACCTATGGTCGTCACCAATGCCCTCGACCTCATGACCCAAGGCCACATCGCAGCCGCTTTGGCCGGCCTGGTCTGCCCGGACCACTTCAGGAGCAACGTCATTCTGAAGTGGTCGGCCCTCCGGTCGGCATCGCCCCAGCAGCCGGCTGATGTCGGCAGGTCGGTGACCTTCATCGACCTCGCCAACACGGTCAAGGTGGAGTCCACCACCAGCACCCCTCCGCCGTTCCTCGACCCAGCCACCAGCGCCCTCACCCCGCTGCGGTTGGCCCGCCGCCTGGCCGCCGATCAGGCGCCAGAGGGCACCCCGGGGTTCCGGCCGCCGGAATCGGTGCTCCTCAACATCGCCGTCAAGCAGGAGGCCGAGAATGAGGATGACAGCGACCTCATCGCCGCCAGCGAGCTGAAGCGGCTGCTCAGGGCCGACGGCATTTTGGTTGGCGAGGGGGAGGAGGAGGCCGTGTGGGTGGGCGCGCCGACTATCAAGTGGGGGCTGTGCGTGTTGCTTAACGCCGTGCTGAGAGGGGGAGCCTGCGGCCGGCCCTGGAGAGCTACTCGCAAGTGCTGTGGAAGGAGACGCTGGCCGTGCTGGAGTGGCAGGACCACATGGACCAGTTCGTCGCGCCCGAAGGCCGCCCACTCTCCAGTGGTCGGCCCTGCTGCCCGCTGGCCGCCAACTTCAGCAGGCTCGAGGAGATGGAGTGAGCGAGTGAGTGGGTGGGCGAGCATCCTGGGCCAGGCAGGGCAGCCAGGAAGGGGCGAATACAGAGGTTCGATAATGTCTCCTTCATTTCCGCCGGTGTGTGTCTGCAGGTGTCTTTCATCGCTGCCTACATTTTATATCCGGACGACTCTTTTGCTCCCGTGGCCGCGCAAAACAACCATGTAAGGCGCTCACTAACGAGTCGAGTGTGGTCACCCGTCAAGTCTGTCGACGTACTTGCTGCACGTGCCCGAGGGCCTTGATGGGGCCATCGTGTCGATCGATGGTCGTGGTTGTATATCAATTGTCTGCCAGAGAGCCTGTTGGACGACCAGGCAGCCAAGCTGTTGGCGTGGCGGCCTCATCAATGTGAGAAACAGACAGCGCAACGCACCTTCTTGGTCTCTTTCTCGTCCCCAGGTCTGCATGTGAGTGAGGCGGTCTCCTTGCCTGCAGGGCCTGCAGGTTACCACCCGTTTTAGAGCAGTCGGTCGGATGATATGGTGATGTACTTGAACGGATGGCAGTTCGTGTGTGGGGAACTGTGCCGGCCGGTCACACATCACATCGCTGCTTACGTTTTATATCCGTGAGAGTGTTTGGTTCCCTCCCAGTGGTGTGGACTGCCGTGACCGACTCAGATGAGATCGATTTTTCCTTTGATGAACGCACATGCCCACCAGGACGGTCAGGGTTGCGGACCCATAGAATACCCATGAAATATGGCCAGTGATTATGACTTAGCGTCAGCCGGTCTGGACTCTGAAGCACGTCGCTACACAGATCTTGGCCTGCGGTTTCGTTTGTTCAAAAGATCCCCGTCTGCGGGCTTAGCCGGAGACGGCCAGCTTCGTTGTAAATGCTGCCACTGCCATCCAACGGCAGAAGCGCCCAAAGCACACCCACATGCACACAGCGAGTGCATCCGCGGCATGGCCACGCATAAAAGCATCAACAAGGAACACACAGACATCCCTGCTCAGTTGCACACACATCACATCCCTGCAGCCGTGCACATGTAACACACACACACACACACACTAGGCAGATACCCACGCCGATACAAACGCCTGCTTCCCGAGGAAGAAGCGCTGTCAAGGGGGGAGGGGGGAAGAGAGCAGTCGTCAATCCACTTAAGCTTGTCCACGTGTGATGGCCGCTGCGGGTGTCTACCAAAGTGAACCAGGACAGTCGTCAGTGAAGTCGATGTGCATGCCGCACCACCATGCTGCATTCCGACAATACCAAAATCAGTCGGCAATGCGCTTGTGGCGCACATCTGCTGTGCGGCAGCGGCAAAAGCGACGCGGTGATGTACTGCAAGCGCAGTGGGAGCTTACGTCTACCAGCCAGTGTGAGTAAATGGCTACACAGAATGTGTGCGCGGCGCACGCAAAACGGATTAGGCAAGGAGCTGACTACAGGTAGGTGTGGTGAGAGGTAGTGGTGTCGGTGCGCCAGTCGGACACACCGACACGCCATATGAACAAAAAATCCACCACATACACACACAGGAGAGTCGCTTGTAGCCCATGGCAACCCCACGCAGCTTTGCTCATGTCTCGTGTGCCGTATCTCATCCATGCGCTTACCTAAGTGCTCCGCCACGGTGACCGCTCTCGCCGACCTGCACACACACACACACACACACACGCAGACAGACAGACAGACAGAAACCAACGAACGAACACGAGAACAGCGCACCGAGCTCTACTGCATCGGGAGATGCACACATAGCAGCAAGATGATGGATGGATGGGTGGATTAACTTCAGCAAATCAGCAGCAGCATGGGGTGGGCTCGTCTTGTGTCCAGCAGGGGCACAAGACAACACCCGCGTGCATACACTCGCGGTGCGCAGCCCGGTTGTGCGTGGCGACTGCCTGCCTGGTGCGATGCCTGCCTGTGCTGTTCGCTAGATAGTAAGTACAGCCTTTCACACACACACACACACATATATGCACGCATACACGATGGATGAGACTAGATCGACCGATGCTGCAGCGGGGGGTGAGAGGGGCTCCTCCCTCCTGTGTGTGGCAAAACCAGCCAGACGAGGAGGACATGCGCTGCCGGAGGGACAGAAGACCTGCCCGCCATTCCGCAGTGAGCCGGGTTGTCTGTAGAGCGAGTATGATGCCTGCGTGGCTGCCTGCCTGCCTGATAGGGAGTAGTGCTCCTTACACACACACACATCAGAACACACGAGCAGCCCCTGCACTGCATGAGAAGTCGGTAACGAGTGCATACAAACACACACACAGCTGATGGGGTGAGTGACGGGTGCGAGTACAGCTGATGGGGTGATGCACTGCAAACAGGTGACGGCGAACAGTGCGGACGGACAGTGCGCTGTCAGCGGCAGCTATGGAAAATGAAGGAGCACACAAACACACACACACACACATGAGGTGGCCAAGGACACATACATACAGAGAGCCAACCAAGTTGTCAGTCACGCCAATACTCAAATGGCTGCCGTGCCGCCGACGTATGTACTGTACGGTCGGGATGGGAAAAAGAGAGCGATGCCGAGTACGGACGTCTGTCTGGTGTCGGCAAAACCCGCAACAAACAGCACGGATGGACGGCAATGTGAGTCAGTCGGATGCGGAGGAAGTGAGTGCACTCCCGCAAGTAAGGGCAAAACACCTGCGTGCCAACGCGCCTGGTGTGTGGAGCGAGTGTGATGCCTGCATGGTTGCCTGCCTGCCTGGGAGGTAGTAAGTGATCCTTACACACACGCGGACAGACACGCACATTGACTGACGTACGTACCATCACGAGAAAGTCAGCCAGTCAGTCAGTCAGTCAGTGAGGTCAGCTACTCAGTGACTGAGGTCACTCACCCACCATAAACACCGTGTATGTCACCGCTGAGTGAGTGAGTGAGCCGGATGTAGCCAACCATACAGACAGACAGACAGTCAGTCGTGTCCGTGCCAAGTAAGTGTCTGTATGTGTCTGGCTGGTGCAAGAAAAACATGTCAGGTCAGGTCAGGTGGCAAAGACAGACGGGAACACCGCATGACATGAAAAGTCATTCACAAATAAGTCAGTCAGTCAGTCACGCATCCAGAAAGTACATACCCACCAAAAAATGCCAACGTCTACACCGACATCCTGACATGATTCCCCCTCGTCCGTCTCGGTGTCCATGTCCTTGCTCTCCACCTGCTGCGCCACCCTCTCGGTCCAGCTGATGCCGTGCGCATCTACACGCAGCGGCACGTCGCTGCCCGCACCCGTAGCCGTCGATGTCAGGTCGGTGGCGACGCGTCGATGGCCTTAAGGCCTTCGCTGCCCAGGAGCTCCTTCATCGGCGGGAGGAGGGAGGGGTCGCCAGACGGAATATCCGCACCCGCAGCAGACCTGAGAAAAGGAGAACGGCATGCGCGTGTGTCTGTGTGGGTGTGGGTGTGGGCCTGTTGCTTACTGGTGAATTATTCGGCGAGGAACCAGTCGGGAAGTTGTGCCCTCGGCCCTGCCGCTGACGATGAGCGATCGAAGATGGTCGGCCGGCAGCTGAGTGGGGTAGGACAGCAGTAGGACAGCAGCACCGCCTTGACCGATGCCCGCTGCTCCGGCGTCCACCCCTGCCACTGCCGGCTGATGGCCTCGCGGAACAGCGTGTGGCCGATGAACTGCAGGCGCTCGACCAGGGCGCCATCCAGCTGGCTGCCGTCGTGTGTGACGAGTCTGTGGGCCATCCATCTCGCAGGCGCTAGGGTGGTCGTAGATGGAGGTAGAGCGCTGCTCGGCAACCAGACCAGAGGGAGGGCATGTGTGTTGTCCTGAGCCATCGGTGATGGACGGGATACGGCCGGAACGGCCTTCCCCCGCCCATCGTGGGCTGGCTCGGACAGCTCACATGGCCCACCTGCCAAGGCACACACACACACGACACACACATGAGCCGTTGCCTGGTGCCTCCAGGCTCCCTCACGTACCCTCTGAAGGTTGCGCATATCAACTTGGCCCACGGCCCTAGCTGTTTGGTACACATGGCCGCTCCGCGCAGCACCGCAGCCACCAAATCCATTGACGCGTTACGCATCAAGCGGACCACACCATGCCGCCACAGCACGGCGATCGTGTCGGCGGGGATGCTGCCGGCGGATGATGGACTGTGGTGGTCATGCCGTCACGATGGGCAGGGGCCGCTGCGGATGGTGCCGCCAGTGGGAGAGGATGAGTGGCTCGATATCCACCTTGCGGCCCTGCTGGAAGGCCGCTGACGCGATCACCCTCTGGCCCAGCTTCGCCAGTAAGCCGACCAGATACGCTGCACACCGACAGACACAGACAGAGAGAGAGAGAGAGCGTGACTCCATGGATGGACAGACGAGCGATGTACGCGGAAGCATCACTCACCGCAGATGTCTTGTGCGAGTGCGGCGGTGGACCTGAGCGCGTGGCCGCATGCGTTCTTGATCCTGCCGTACTTGTCGACAAACACGGCCCCGATGCTCACGATGGACGTGGCCACCTTGTCCGTCTCGGTGTCCATCTCCTCACTCTCCACCTGCTGCGCCACCCTCTCGGTCCAGCTGATGCCGTGCGCATCTACACGCAGCAGCACGTCACTGCCCGCACCCGTAGCCGTGGATGTCAGGTCGGCGGCGACGGCGTCGATGGCCTTTAAGGCCTAGGACAGCAGCACCGCCTTGACCGATGCCCTCTGCTCCGGCGTCCACCTCTGCCACTGCCTGCTGATGGCCTCGCGGAACAGCGTGTGGCCGAAGAACTGCAGGCGCTCGACCAGGGCGCCATCCAGCTGGCTGCCGTCGTGTGTGACGAGTCTGTGGGCCATCCATCTCGCAGGCGCTAGGGTGGTCGTAGATGGAGGTAGAGCGCTGCTCGGCAACCAGACCAGAGGGAGGGCATGTGTGTTGTCCTGAGCCATCGGTGATGGACGGGATACGGCCGGAACGGCCTTCCCCCGCCCATCGTGGGCTGGCTCGGACAGCTCACATGGCCCACCTGCCAAGGCACACACACACACGACACACACATGAGCCGTTGCCTGGTGCCTCCAGGCTCCCTCACGTACCCTCTGAAGGTTGCGCATATCAACTTGGCCCACGGCCCTAGCTGTTTGGTACACATGGCCGCTCCGCGCAGCACCGCAGCCACCAAATCCATTGACGCGTTACGCATCAAGCGGACCACACCATGCCGCCACAGCACGGCGATCGTGTCGGCGGGGATGCTGCCGGCGGATGATGGACTGTGGTGGTCATGCCGTCACGATGGGCAGGGAACGGGGACGCATGGACAGCCAAGGTGGGTGGCTTAGGGGGTGCCTGCTGCTGTTGCTGCTGCTGTTGTTGTCGCGGCATTTTGACGGTGCCAGTTGTGTGTCGCAGGGAAGTGGCGGCATGGCCACCGTCCTCGTC